ATGTGGAATGTCAGAGCTCCTGGACACATTTATGTGATATGGGAGAAGATAAGAATTACCTTGGGAAGAACTAGTTCCTATGGATGGAGCAGTAATGGCGTGTTTGTCACCCTTCATTAGCAGATTGGTAAAGGTATATCCAGATAGAACTCTGATAAGTGAGATAAAATAGTTTAAGATAAGATAAACAAAGAAAACATTTACTAAAATTTTTAAAATCTGTCAGAAAATTATGAAAAGGCTTTTTTGTGATGGTTTTAGATTTGGTAGATGAAAGTGCATAATTTTGTTGTAATGGGAATTCAGATATAACATGTAAAGAAATAGGTAGCACACTTTTATTTCAAGGCCCTTCAGCCAGTTCACAACTCCTCTCTTTACTCCATGGGAGTCTTGGGCTTATTTTCACTGTTCCTACAGTCTAGTTTTTGTTTTGTGGGTTTTTGTTTTGTTTTGTTTTGTCGTTTTTGGGTTAACCCATTCTGGGATTATTCATTGTTCTCTATTTTAACCAAAGAAAGATAAGCAAGGATTTCTAGAAGAAACTTTGTGTTTATTGGAGTGTTTCCAGAGTGCTTCTTTTACTATTTTTAAGATCTGCTACATTAAAAAAGAAATGGAGCAGGGGGCAAAAATCTTAAAAAGCAGTGTGCTTACAAGTTCGAGATTATTCAGTTTCTACCTTCTGTGTATAAATCATCTTAATTTCTTTTCAAAGTAATCAGAATTACTTCTCACCTCCCTCTTTTCCTCTCTCCCTCTTTCCTTTTCCTTACTAATTTTATTTTATTTAAATTTCCTTCTTATGGAAAATCTAGATTACACAGAAAATTATTTTTAAAGCTTAATAATATTAACAATAAAACTCCAGTACCAAGAAAGAACCATTATTATTGGCTTTTTTCCTTCAACCTGTGGATTAAGCTAAGATTCTTTGAGTTCTTCATTCTGTTAGTATGCATCTCCCTTTCTGCTTACCTAAGAGAGCATGCCACAATTTCGGATATAGCCTTCCAGTCAGAATTCACTGGTTATGCCCCTCTCATCACCCTCTAACACTCTAAACCTTTGCCAAAGCCAGGCCTTGGACTGAGAGGACCCATTGCCTTATCCAGTCTCTTTCTGCCTCCAGCTTGACCAGCATGGCTGTTTTCAACTGTTTGGGTCTAGCTGCAGAATAAAATATTAATTAGGTAGATTCCAAAGCTCTTACTATGTTTTTAGTCCCTGCTTGCTTTAGGAAAAGTAACAAAATCAAGACTTTGAAACCCTCCAGCTCCCTAATTCCTTTTAATTAATTAATTAATTAATTAATTAATTAATTAATTAATTTAGTTGTAGATGGGCACAATTTATTTATTTATTTTTATGTGGTGCTGGGGATTGAACCCAGCGCCTCACACATGCACCAGGTGCTCTACCACTGAGCCACAGCCCCAGCCTTCCCTATTTCTTTTTATTTTTAAACTTTAACTTTGAATTAGACCTAACCAAATCTCCAGGTTATTTTGACAGAAAAAGGGATCCCTTTTTCCTGAGCTGTTAAAAAGGATTTCAGTTTTGTTTCAGAGTAGATAGGCCAAGAATGTGGGTAAGCCAGTGGTCAGCAAAATTCCTGAAAAGGGCCAGATTATAGACATTTTAGGCTTTAGGGCCCTGTGATCTCTTTGACAGCTGCACAGATCTGCTGTTACAATGCAAAAACAGCCATCGACAATGTTTAAATGAGCAAACTTGACCATATTTGAGTAAAACTTTATTTAAAAAACAGGTAGTGGGCCCTAGTTTGCCAGCTCTTTAAGCCATGACTCTCTAAAGCATTGTATGATGACACACAGATCACTTGAGAAAAAAAGTATTTACATCACATATGATAAGCCATTGTATATGTACTAAGGGCTGCCACACACAACTATAAAAATATTCAGATGATATTCAAATCTATTGGCCACAACAGAAAAGAATGACAGATTTGACTGCATAAAAATTAAAGTCACAAAGTATACAGTAAGTAAAGATAAAAGACAAATAACAAACTAGAGAAAATAATTGTCATCTATATTAACTACCAACTTATGTGGTTTTTGCATACCAATAAGATGAATTATCCAAAAGAAAAAGAGACACAAGATATGTACTAGTCAGAAAACAGGAAAAGATGCTCACTCTTATAAGTAGTGAAATCTGTGTCTTAAAGAGACTTTTTTTTTTTGCTGTCAAATGTAGACATTTGAATAAATAATATGCATAATATTCAGTGTGTTGAGGGATGTAGGGAAATAAACAACTGGATATGGTTATGATGATTTGTATTATCTATTATTATACACAGAGTACCTATGATTTATCAGCTTAACAAAAAAAAATATTTGTTTTCTTAGTTTCTGTAGATCAGGAAACAGGAGTAGCCGAACTGGGTGGTTCAGGCACAGGATTCTCAAGAGGTTGCAGGCAAGCTGTCAACCATGGCTACAGTCATTGGGAATGGATGATCCACTTTCATGGATATTCTAGCCCCCAGTTTCTTAGTGCCCATTAGGCAGAGACTGTAGTTCTTCAGGGGGCTTACCATCCAGCATTTATTTATTTTTTTAGTTGTAAATGGACACAATATATTTATTTATTTATTTTTATGTGGTGCTGTGGATACCTGGCAGCTTGTTTTCCTTGAGTGAATAAAGAGATCAGCCAAGACATATCACACACAGTGCTTTCTAGAATCGTTGAGGTAACATACCATTTTAAACATGCTGTTGGTCACAGAGTAATCATGGTACAGTATGAGAAGGCCCTAAAAAGGATGAGTAGTAGGAGGCAAGAGTCCTCAGGGACTTGGTGGTTGGCTGCCACAGGAAATCTGGGACTTTGTTTCTCTGTCAGCTGGTTATAGAGTTTTCCATATGATTTCTGCTGAGTCTAGAGTGGGAAGATATCTTTTTTCCCTCTAGCATGTGGGTGGAGCGGCAGGAGTACCTGGGGATTGACTGGGCATTTTTCACCTCATTGTGGTCTCTCCACAACTAGTGTGGATTTTTTTACATCAGAGTCTCAGGCTGGTCATACTTCTTGAAGGGTAACGATGCCAGATTCCAGAAGACCCAAGCAGAGGCTACACAAATTTCTATGATCTAGCCTTGAATTTTTTCCATATTCTTCATCAACAATATATTTATAGTACTAGCCCAGATTTAAGAGCATGATTACAAGGTGATGTGACCTATTATAAAGACCAATCTTTGGAACTCTCCCAGGAAGTTATGATTGTAAGAAATGATGCTGGCTTATTCTAAAGTGGTAGCAGTGCAGATAATTAAAAAATTGGTCTGACACTGGAAAAATTTTGAAATAAAATTGATAGAATTTACCTGGGAATTGAATATAGTATGTGGGGGAAATATAAGTTGAATGAATCTAAGATTTTTGAGCTGAGCAATTTGAAGAATGCAGGTCTCCTTACTGATATGAGAAAAACTGTAGGATAGGAAATTTGAAAAGGCAAATCCGGATTGACTAAAATCCTAAGTATCTGTGTAAGAAAATACATATGAAGATGTAGCCATTAGGAAGGAGGTTGAGCTGGGCACAGAGATGCATACCTGTGGTTTCACCTACTTGGGAAGCTGAGACAGGATGGCTTGATCCAAGAACTTTACAACAAACAAGTCTACAGTAAATCTCTGTGTACTGAAATAGGAATGCTATTCGTGGTTATTACTTGGAAGGTGTGATATGTGAAGCGTAATTCCTCTTATGAAGAAATATATATATTAAAAATTAATGTTTTAATATATTTATCAATATTTACATAAAACCCATAAGTTCTAACCTGTCATTGAAGGGCTCTATTAAGAATTTGGATTAAACCACAGGCCAAGGGAATTTTTTGAAGGCCTTCCATCAGAGGAGTGATATCATAATTATGCTTTGGGAAGATGAATTTTTAACAGTGTGAGAAGTGAAAGAAGAGTTGGGAGCCAGGGATTGTACTCTGTGGAAGCATACCAAGCTCTATTCACAGTCTGTGAACTAAATCCATGGAGGTCAGAGACTGTGGCTTTCCTTGTTTTATTCTAGCTTCAAACCTAGAGCAGTGGTGAATGAGTGAATAAGTGCATCATCATCACATTTCAAGCTATTGAGAAAGGTCTTGTCTAAATTAACAGACTATCTCAATTGTAGATTTTTATCAAAATTCTATTACATTACGTGGTAACAGAATAAAGTATTAATAGGTGGTAAATCTACTGATTTAATTAGTAGACTAGATGTCTACTGTATTTCCTTTGCTGCTGTATTGGACTTAAAAAAAGAGAGAGAGAGAAAGAGTTTATGACAGGATTATTTCATCTTTTACCTGAATATATTGTGTAAGGGATCCTAAGCCTTTTAAATGGCAATGATAATTTCTAATCATCTAGAGTATATGAATCAAAAAGATAACAAGTATCAAGCAGGAATTTCAAGAGAGGTTTTTCAGAGGAAGTACTGTTCTATAAGGAATTAGATTTCATGCTTTGTTTTTTAAAAATGCCATCAAATAGTCAAATGACTTAGTGGGATTGGGGGATGACACTTTAAAATAACTAGAGATGGACTTTTTATTGTTTAGTGCAAAAATGCAATATTGAAATTTTTTAAAAAATATGTTTTAGTTGTAGATGGACACAATAACTTTATTTATCTTTATGTATTGCTGTGGATTGAATTCAGTGCCTTGCTCATGCTAGGTGAGTGCTCTACCGCTGAACCACAATCCTAGCCCCAATATTGGAATTTTTAAGGAAGAGCTTTTTTCTTCTTCAGATTTTTGTTTTGGTCAAGTTTTTAAACAAAAATCAATTTTTTAAATTACATATATTAATTGCATCGGCCTACAAGTTTCCATGGAGGAACAAACTTTATTACACATGAAGTTCATTGTTTTTGCTTTCATGACATATTGGTCATATTGGTTATAATAAGTTGCAAGATATTTGCTGAAAATGTCTTGTTTATTTCAGGGGCTACATTGAGTATGAGACCAGCCCCCATTCCAATAGAGGACCCGGAATGGAGACAAACTCCTCCCCCAGTCTCTGCCACATCTGGGACCTTCCGACTCCGACGAGGGAGTCGATTTACCTGGAGGAAGGAGTGCCTAGCTGTCATGGAAAGGTATGTGTCTCCTTTTCCAATGAAAAGTTTCCAGAAATCAGGAAAGAAGTAAACTTTTGCATGCATTAGGACCGTTTTCATTTCCAGTAAGTAATTTGGGAGCTCAGTTCTAATTCAGAGAGTATTTTGGAGTATTATGAATGCTGGGTTATTAAAATAAGATGTTTGGGTTTTGGGGTTTTTTTTAGTTGTCAATGAACCTTTATTTTACTTATTTGTTTATATGTGGTGCTGAGAATCAAACCCAGTGCCTCATACCTGCCAGTCTAACACTCTACCACTGAGCCCCAACCTCAGCCCTAAACTAAGATGATTTTTAGCATTGACAATTCATAAAGCTAGAGTTAGCATCTATCAGTTTATTTTATATATAATTTAATAGTGCCCTCAGTAATTTAAGATACTTTAGAAGAAATAGTTGAGTTTAGATATTTGTATGATATTTTGGAAAAACTATTCAAGTCATTTTTATCAAAAATGTTGAATATAGGAGTCAATTAAGATTTAACTTTCTTCAATGAGGAGGAAGATCTAAGTGAGCTTAGTTCCACAGGTTAGAAAATACTTGTTTAATAATTTATCCTTTTACTTTAGCACCCAGCACCTAAGTTCTTTTTTGACCTTCATTTTCCTGCCTGAAATGTTTGTTATATTTAGCATAGATCTTATGGCATAATTATCCTTTTAGTCACCTGCTTATAAGTGATGTCTATAGAATTTTATTTTTATGGAGAAGTTTATACATAGTAGGGTCATAATTTCCCAGCTGTACATTTTACCCATATATAATCTGACCAGTAGAGTGGTATACTAGACAGAGCACTTGACTCAAGAGTTAGAAGACCTGAAACCTGATTAACTTTGGGTCACAAATTCTGAACTGTGACTTGCTCATCCTCAAAATGAAATTTTTTAGTAACCAATAAATTATGTAAGACTTTTGCCATCTTTCTTCTTGCTTACTTTATGAGTATTTCCCAGACTATAAAACTTAAAATGCTGAAATTCAGACCATATTTTTGTTTCTGTGATATAGATGAAATAAATAGATTTGCTAAGAAGAGGGCTGGATCAGTATCCAAAATGAAACTATAGATTATTCACTGTTGTTAATATTTCTTTCTTTCCTCTATTGTAGATAAGAGTATAAGCAATTGATTAAATAATGAATCCTTATACCCTTGAGTGGTTAAAGTGAAAGATGGAGGCTTAATTTTTCTGGAGACCTGACATTTTACATTCTATGCCATTTTCTCATCTGGAAATTTTGATTTTTTTTTTTTTTTCAAAATTTCTTTGGAACTTACCATAGCAGATGGGAATTAAAATTATATCTAACTTAAATTATTTGTAATATTGTGTATTTTTCTCTGGGTAACACAATAAGATGTGATATCAGTCTCTAACTGGTGTAAGTTCTACTTTCATGAAGATACTACCATATGCTTTTATCACATGATGTCAGTATGAGAAATAAGTTTAAAAGTTGATAACTTTAAAAATGATAGAGAATTGAACCTCAAAGAATTTTGAGTTCCTTAATTTTTTTTCCCCAAAGCACAACTTGTTAGATTTACACTGATTAAATTTCAATTAAAAATATACTGAACACTTATTCTGTGCAAGCCTTTCATTTAATTTTAATTTACACTTTTTAACTTGAGTTTTAATTAATAACTGTTTTTAATCCAAGAGTTGGTCATCTTTGGTTTGATTTTATCTGATTGGCACAACTAGAGAAAGAAGATATTGTTCATTCTAATAGTTGCACAAATGCAGAAAGCCTTTCAAGTCACTTTGTATCAATAGTACAGAAGGCTCACAATATGATTTTCATTTTTTAAAAATAGAACTTTTCCTAAAATGGAATATAAATTTCCCTAGTCTTATAGTGACACATATTTTTTGCCTAGACTAAATGAGTAGATATGCACAAACTATAAAACCAGCAAATAAGCCTCACTCAAATATGTTAGTATAAGAGTAAAGCAAAAAATGATTCTATCCCTCATGCCATACACCAAGATAAATTTCAAATGAATTTGAGAAAAAGTTAAAAATATATATAAAAAGAATTAAACATGGGTGATTCCTCCATATCCTGGAAATGGGAAAATTGTTTTCTATCACTTAGAATCCAAAAGCAATAATGGAAATGTTTAATATATATATATACTAAAAGAAAAACTTTGGGGGCAAAAATTGAGCAACACTTAAAAAGACAAGTTGGAAAATGCTTTTGCAGCTTTTATCATCTTAGTATGAAAAGAAGAATTAGTTATTAATCTTTGAGAGAGAAGATTAATAACTATGGAAAAATGGACTAAAGTTATCAGGAGAAAAATGACAAATATATGCAAATGGCTAAAACCTAGGAACCAGATACTTAACTTATAATAAGAGAAATTCATCGAGATGCCATTCCTCACCTGTCACATTGGCAAAAATCCAAAAGTTTGGCGGTCTTTTCTGTTGATTGGCCTGTAGAAAAATGGCATTCTCTTACATTGCACGTAGAAATACAAAATGGAACAACCTTGCATGGGGGAGAATTTAGCATTATCAAGGAAATTTACCTATGGATTTGCACTTTCGCTCTATTGGTAGAAAATCATCTCAAATACATTGACAAAAATATGAAAAGGCAACAACACTGTAATAATATGAAAATACTGAAGATAACCTGTATGTCTCTTGGTAGTGGGATGGACAAATAAATGACAGTACATCCATATGTTGCATGTCAAGGCTCATAGTAAAATGCTAGGCAGAGACAAAGACAAAGGAATGAAGACAGTATTTATACAGGGATCTCTAGGTTGTAGTTTTATTTTTATTAAAAAGGCAGGTTTAGGCCTGGGTTTGTGGCTGAGTGGTAGAGTGCTTGCCTAGCATACATGAGGCTCTGGGTTCAATCCTCAGCACCACATAAAAATAAAATAAAGATATTGTGTCGTACTAATAGGGCATTATGTAAAAATGTAGATGTGTAACTGACGTGATTCTGCAATCTGTATTTGGGGTAAAATTGGGAGTTCAAAACCCACCTGAATCAAATGTATGAAATATGATATGTCAAGAGCTTTGTAATGTTTTGAACAACCAATAAAAAAAAAAAAGATATTGTGTCTACCTAAAAAACTAAAAAATAAATCTTTTTTTTAAAAAAAGCAGATTTAGCTGCATAGCATAGGCTTTCATTTATGTACTTGCTTATACCTGTTTTTAATGGAGGAATATACCATAAAGCAAAATTATTACCAAAAGAAAAGAAAAAAACAGATGAGAGAAGATAGAAGTAGAAGCTAGAAATCACTGAAAATATCTTGTTTTGACCTTGTAACTGTGTAAGTATTTTACATAATTAAAAATCAAAATTAAATTGAAATGGGGGAGGAAATCCTTAAGAAAATAACTAAAATGAAAGAAAGATGGTTGACTAAACAATCAGGTATTATTTTAAATCCCTTTACAACATAGTAATTTTATTACACTTCCTAAGTGGGTTATAGCTTGAGAGTAAAAGCAACTCCAAAAAACTCTTACAGGGACTAATTTTGGTAAAGTTAAGTATTGTTATCCAAATACTATTTTTATAATTAGATAGGTATAGTTACAGATGTAGATGTAAATAAAACAATCAAATTAATATTATTAGGAACCAAAATTTTCAGTGTAAGAGTAACAACATAGAAATACAAAATAAAAAGAATTAAATTTTTTAAAAAATTAATACTTTATGTGTATATGTGTGTATAGAAAGAAGTTTATTGCAAATGTACTTTAAAAAAAAAAAAAAAAAGCCTTACTGAGATAAAATTTACTCTTTTTTTTCCCCCTTGGAGTGCTGGGATTAGACTAAGGGCCTCACACACATGCTAGGCATGTGCTGTATCACTGATCTATATCCTCAGCCCTACAATTAAGCTATTTAACACATTAATTTCAGTGGTTTTTAGTATACTTACAGAGTTATGCAACCATTTCTTACAGAATATTTTTATCAATCCCAAATAAACTTTGGATCCAGGATAAACTTTCCTTTTCTCCCACACCCTCCCACCCTTGCATAACATTAATCTTTCTATGTAGATTTACCTATTCTGGACATTGCAGTTTTTATGAATGAATCATATTCTGTGGTTTTTTGATGACTCATTTCTTTCAGTTAGAAATATTGGTACCAGGTGGGCTGGTGTTGTGGCTCAGTGGTAGCGTGCTCGCCTAGCATACATGAGACACTGGGTTCGATCTTCAGCACCACATAAAAATAAAGACAATAAAGTCCATCAACAACTAAAAAAATATAAAAAAAGAAAGAAAGAAAAGAAACATTTGTACTAGGAATTGAACCCAGTGTGCTTTACCACTGAGTTATGTCCCCAGTTTTCTTATTTTTTTAGTTTTGAGATAGAGTCCATAAATTGCTGAGATTGGGCTTGAACTTGGTGATCCTCCTGTCTTAGCCTCTCAATTGCTGGGATTACAGGCATATGTCATCATACCCAGCAACATAGTATTTTCAAGATCTGTTCATGTTATACCATATGTTTTCTATTGCATTTCCTTTTATTGCTAAATAATATTCAATATGGGTAATATTTTATTTGCCCATTCATCAATTGATGAGCACTTGGGTTTTTGTGTTTTTTTTCTACTTTTTGTCTATTAGGAATATTGTTGCTACTTAGAATTTGTGTACTATTAGAATTGCTGAGTCATATACTCTGCATTTAGCTTTCTGAGGAGTGCCAAATTTTTTTTAAAGAGTTTATATTTATACCATTTTACATTCTACCCAGCTCTGAATGAGGGTTACCACTTCTCACTAACAACTGTTATTATCTGTCTTTTGTGGTATAGCTTTCTTTCAGTGGGGTTGAAGTATGGTATATTATTGCAATTTTAATTGTGTTTCCTTGATAAATGATGTTAAGCATCTTTTCATGTGATTATTGGCCATTTATGCATTATATCTTCTTTTAAGAAATGTCTGTTTA